GCTACTGCTACTGCTACTGCTACTGCCACCGGCACTGCTACTGCTACTGCTACTAGTCGTGGTGGTGGCAGTCGTCGTAGTAGTAGTAGTAGTAGTAGTAGTAGTAGTAGTAGTAGTAGTAGAAGTAGTAGTAGTAGTGGTGGTAGTGGCTGTAGTAGTAGTAGTAGTAATAATAATCATAATCATGGGAGTAGGAACGGTTTTGACCCCGGGACTCTAAACCCGGAACCGAAACCTCTAAACCTCAAACCCGTAAGTCCTTAATCCCTAAACCCTGATCAACCCGACATCCCGAAGCCGTAAGCCCCTGAAGCCCTCAACTCCGGTAAAGCCTTCAACCAACAGTACTTAGAAAAATCCCGAGAGGAATCCATGGAGCAGCCTCTAAAGGAATCTTGCAACTAAGTCCTTGAATCTTACACCTTGCACCTAAACCTGTTAACTTTAAACCCCTAAACACTACAGCTGAAGGAATCCAAATCTCGTGAAACTCCGCCGACCTCCCACAGAAGTGAGCTCAGGCAGAATTGTGCAGAGGACAACAGTTGTGCGGAGGCTGTCCCTAGGCTTTCCTCTAAAGGGTTCTTTTCAGGGTTTCGGGGATTTCGGGGTTCCTTCACGGATTCCTGTGTTAATGGTTCTACAAGGCTTTCATAGTGGTGTAATTAGGGGTTTTGATAAGAGTACGGTTTTGGAGTTCGTTTAAGGGTTCCGTTCAGGGTTTAGGGATCAAGGATTTAGTGTTTCGGTTTTAGGTGGTTTAGGTGTAAGGTTTAGGATTCGAGAATATAGTTGAAGGTTTCCGTGAAAGGTTCCTGTAAGGGTTTCTTTACGGATTCCGTTAAGGATTCCTCTAAGGGAACTTTTGGCTTTCTGGTAATGGTTCTTTTGGCGTAGGGTATACTGTAAGGGTATGAGTCGGTATGAGAGTCTGCGGGTTTTAGGTGTGGGGTTTAGTTTTGGGCAGTCGCTGACGGGTTCAGGGCGAGGGTTTGGATTACGGTCTGGCCTGTTTTGAACAGTTTATCAAAGGGTAAAAGGAGGGACCCCTAATAAGGACCCCTAGGTATATACCCTTAATACAGCCATTATATACCCATTATATAGCCCCATTATAGGGTAAGGGTTCCCATTAAGGGTCCCTCCTATGCCCCTTTGAGTTTAGGTTTGGGGTTTGGCTTTGTGGAAGGATGTTCATGGGCGCTTTTTGGATTTAGCGTCTGCGTTTCACTAGGCCCTAACATGAGAGGGTCCGAGCGTTGTGGTGAGTCAAGAGTAAGAGGCTTTGGGGTTCGATGGGTTCAAGTGGCTTGGGCATGAATCAGGCATGTGAGCGTTGTTTCGACACATGTTTAGGGTTAACCCCTTAAGCCACAGTTTAATCTTCAAAACAGTCAAAACATGCTGAACCTTGAGCCCTGAACCTCAACACCTAGTCTAATGTACCCCCCAAACCTGATGATAGTATTCAGTCCCCGCTCGCCGAAGCAATTTGTGTAGCCTCTACAATATACCCTTATCGTATTCGTATGTAATCCTATCACGGCCTTCTACTGCTAAATCTCTTGGTCATAGCTGGGTAACCTTTTACATCTTTATGGGTATTTAAACCCAATAAGGAATAGAAATGTATATTTTTAATCCTATCCCAACCATGAACTAAATCTAATCGAGGCGAGAGAGCCAGACTCTGGGTAGGTCCGGTACTTAAAGGCTCATGGGACTTAGTAAGTAAGATTATAAGTAGGCTATAATTAGCATAGCCCTACTTAGGGGACTTATAGCTCCAATTATAACCTACTTACTAAGTCCCATGATTCATTAAGTAGGTTCAACTACCGGAGCTGGGGAGGTCGATGTTGCGATGGGACGGCTGAGTTCTGAGGTCTGCAATACAACACCCTACTCTAGGGGTCTAAATATTTATATAAATACCTACATTATTTTACGTAGGGGGCTCCTTATTATAATCATAGTATTATATAAATACCTACATTATTATAGGGGGTTCTTTATGATATTTATAGTATCATGGGCTCCAAAACCAAAATTCTAATCATTAAGGCCCCTACACTAAGCCCTCGAGCCTGCCACATCCCGCAAGCCCAGATCCTCGAACTTAAAGGATCATGGGACTTCGTAACTGGGGTTATAATTCCTTATAACCCCAATTAAGGTGCTTATAACCCTACTTACGAAGTCCCATGATCCTTAAGAAAGGCCTAAGCCCTCATCCCTGCATCCGGATCCCTACGCTGGGCCTGAATAATTCGAAAAGGGGTTTGGGGCCCATTTTACTATAGTTGTAAAAGAAACCCCCTAAAATAGCATTGGTAACTCTAATTTTATCATAAACTCAAGGGACACACGCCAAGCTTTCCGGTCGACGGTTGAACGTTTATTGCGCGGTTTGTAGTCTCCGAAAGCTCAATGACGAGCCCTACCCCATGAAAGACCTAGGTCGCTTCGGCCCCAATGTGGGAGTTGTTCAATAATGTAGGAACCTGATTAAGAAACCGTGGGTCTTTCTTAAGGCCCCTTATATGAATTCTACTATATTGGGTGTTACAGGGCCAGGGTTTCTTAATCAGGTTCCTACATTATATCAGAGATCATCAAAGATGATTAGAGTGACCTTGCTTATCGTAAGCCCAAAGCCTTGAACCCCTGAAGCCTAAAGCCTCCACCCTAACATTTTAAACCTTCGCCCTCATGCCCTAGCCCTTCAACCCTAAACCCAAAACCCCAAAAGCCCTATAGAGCCTGAAACCCTTAAAGGGCCCAAAGATCCCTATGAAAGGAGCCCTAGCACCCTAAGACCCTCATGCCCAAGCCCTAGACCCTAAAACCCTAAACCCTAAACCCTAAAACCCTAAAGCCCTAAGCCCTAAAACCCCCAAGCCCTAGACCGTAAACCCTAAGCCCTTAAATCCTTAAAGAGAGCCCTCCTAGAACCCTAAGAGCCCCTTGAAAGAGCCCTAAAAATGCTTAAAGAAGCCCTACTTGGAGGGGCAGGGGACTTCGTAAGTAGGTTATAAGTAGAGTTAAAATTGAGCTACCCCAAGTGTAACTCTACTTATAAACGACTTACTAAGTCCCTTGCCCCTCCAAGACCCTAAACCCTAAACACCATATATAGATCCCTTTAAGGAGCCCTTTTAAGAACCCTTACTAAGTTCCCTGCCCCTCCAAGTAGACCCCGAACCTAAGGATCCCTGTAGATCCCTTTAAGGAGCCCTGTAGGAACCCCTACTAAGTTTTGAGATGAGGGTTTAGGGTAAAAAAAACCCTAAACCCTATACCCTAAACCCTATACCCGGAGCCTCCAAGGTCGCTGTGGTCACCTATGATAGCTGGCCGAACGAGGTGGGCTCTGAAGGTTTCTGGAGGTTTCGGGGTTTAAGGTTCCTTTAAGGGTTTAGGACTTCAGGATTTAGGGTCCCTTTAAGGGTTTAGGACTTCAGGACTTAGGGGTTAAAGGGTTTAGGACTTCAGGATTTAGGGGTTTAGGGTTTATAGGGGTTTAGGGTTCCTTTAAGGGTTATGATCTATCGGGTTTAGGGGTTTAGGGTTCCTTTAAGAGTTCTGATCTATCGGGTGTAGGGGTTTAGGGTTCCTTTAAGGGTTTAGGACTTCAGGATTTAGGGGTTTAGGGGTTTAGGGGTTTAGGGTTTAGGGGTTTAGGGTTCCTGCAAGGGTTTGTTTGGGGTTTAGGACTTCAGGATTTAGGGGTTTAGGGTTTAGGATTTATATAGGGTTGAGGAGGATCTTAGGGTTGCGGGGCTTAGGGCTTTAGGGGTTTAGGGTTTGGGTTTAGGGTTTGGGGTTTAGGGGTTTAGGGCTTATCGTGTAGGGGTTTATCATAGGGACCTTTAAAATAGGGGGAGGGGGGTAGGGGATTACACTTGCTTAAATAGGCCTTATTAGGTCCTTATCATGGGCAAAAAGGCCCCCTACCCCCGTCCCCCCTACCCCCCCTAAGGGTCCTTATGAGACTAGGGTTTGGGGCTTATAGTAAACCTCAAAAAGTTGGAAACCGGACTAAGGCCAAATAGTGCTGGGATTCCCTATACACTTCTCCTGAGGATTGGGGCTATTGGGTTTCGCGTCACTGTAGGGGTTTAGCGGGTTTAGGACTTAGAGTTTAGGGTTGAGGGTAGATTCGTTTGTGTTTACCTGTGGATCCAAAAGCCCACTGCTGTGAGGAGCTATACCTGGTGCTGAAGGACTCATACCCCCTAAACGGCCTGGAAGTTTACATTCTGGTCGGTGTTCAGGGTCTAGGGTTTGGACGAAGGGCTTACGGTAGGAGGCTTTTGTGAGGGATTAGGCTTGCGTTTAGGGCTGGAGCTTCGGCTTTACATGTGTTTTCCAAGGGGTGGACTCGGGTTCTGCAAGACAAACGGGGCCACTGAAAGCAACATCTTCACCCTTAACCAGAAGTCTCCCTAATCTCCGAAGACCCGCAAACGGTCTAGGGTGTAGGAGGAAGTAGTAGGGTTTTTCTGAGGTTTCCGGTTCGTGTCGGGTTTTGTAATGGTCACGGAATACTGTTCAGGGTTTACTTAAAGGCTCATTGGGACTTAGTCAGTAAGGTTATAAGTGGGTTATGATTAGGATACCAGGACTTAAGGGACTAATAACCCCAAGTATAACCTACTACTAAGTCCCATGATCCTTTAAGTAGGGTTCAGCTGGGTTCAAGGGGAACAGTGCCCCGGTCATTTCTTTTAGTGAACTGCGGGCTCAGTGTGAGCCTCAAACCCTGGCACATCTCCGCATCAACTGCTGCAGTACTATGGGTGACTAAATAATTACCCATACTATCTTGGGAGGTTCCTTATTATAGTATACTGGGCCCCAAAGCCTTATTCTAATTAATAAGGTCCCTAGGTTTTAGAGCGCTTATTGTATCCCTGACAGACCCCTTTAAAGGAACCCTTTAACGGAACCCTTGTTTAATTTTTAAGGCCCCTACATTATCCACTCCGGCTGCGTAGGTCACGGAGTGGTTGCGACAAGTTTTCAACATTCTGGATGTCGTGCCGCGCCCTCGGGGCCCGTCATGTAGGAACCTTTAAGAAACCTTGGGCCTTTATTAGGGTTCCATAAGGGTCCCCGTGAAGGGTACTATAAGGGTTTCGGGGGTTTAATGAGTAATGTAGGAACCTGATTAAGAAACCTTGGGCCTTTGTTTGGGTTCCTTATATGAACCTTACTATTTTGGGGTTATAGGCCCAGGGTTTCTCAATCAGATTCCTACATTAAACACGAAACCCCAAAACTTAAACGCCACACCTTAAACCCACAGCCCCAAACCCTAAGCCAATGTGATTATTTTGACTATTAGCAGTAGAATTCGTATAATGAGTGTCATCCTAGCCATCGCTACTGCTACTTCTATTATGTTTATTACTGTTACTATTGCCATTACCTGTACGAGTACTATAACTAGTACTAGTACTAGTACTCGAACTAGTACTATGATTATTACTATATGACTATTACTACTACTATCTATCGATATTGCTATTGCTACTACTACTGCTATTGCTATTGCGATTATTCTTATGGTTAGTATTTACAGTAGTATGCCTCTTATTTTTGTTAGTAGTAGTACTACTAACTTCGACGGCAACTACTTGCCAGAAAAATTGTTTTGAAAACTGCTGCTGCTGCTGCTGCTGATGCTGCTGCTACTGCTACTGCTACTGCTACTGCTACTGCTACTGCTACTGCTACTACTACTACTACTACTACTACTACTACTACTACTACTACTACTACTACCACTACCACCACCACTACCACTACCACTACTACTACCACTACTACTACTACTACTACTACTACTACTACTACTACTACTACTACTACTACTGCTGCTACTACGCAAGCTACTACTCCTTCTCCTGCTGCTACGTCTGCTACTACTACTACCACTACTACTACTACTACTACTACTACTACTACTACTACTACTACTACTACTACTACTACTACTACCACTACTACTAATGATAATCATAATACTAATAGTAATACTAATATTCATACTCATACTGATACTGATACTGATACTAATACTAGTACTAGTACTAATACTAATACGAGTGCTAATGCTAATACTAATACTACTGCTACTAGACTTCTTACATTTATTTCTACCATTACTTCTTTTGGGGTCGTGTTTGCCGATCCCCGGGTTTGACGTGAGGTTGAGGCATTGACGGTTTGGGGATTTAGGGTTTTGCGCCTATTCAAGGTTTATGTGTCAAGCGTTGGGGTTTTTGGACGTGTGGTTTATCCTAACCTTCAACCCTAAACCCCAAACTTTAAACCTTGAACCTTAAACCTGATCCTAAACCCTAAACCTTAAACGCTAAACCCTAAACCTCAAACCCTAGACGTTTTTTCGGGGCTGCCTCTGTACTACCCCGGCTTCGGCATGAGGAACGACTGAGGTCTTTTAGCCATACCCCGGCAAGTAATGTAAACAGCCCTCGGGTTTCGAGTTGGGGAGTTTGGGGCTGTAGACATGAATCAAACAGGCTCAACCCTGAAAGTGGAGAAAGTGGTTCCAGCGCGAACTTCGTTTTGTGCGGTGACGGTACTCTCTGCTTCAAGTGATGTATGGCGTGTATTTTGAAATTTTCTGCCTTTGCCTGAAACCCGACTACCCATGAACCCCAAAGGCTTAAGCCCCAAGCAAGTTTCACAAAGCCACACAAAACCTTCCTGGACCCTAATTTCCAACAGGTGGGTCGTTTAGGGTAAGTACAGTCCAGGTTAGAGGCCCGAGGCCCGCGCAACGCCATTCCGCTCTGGGTTCAGACCGGTGAAGGGCACTTCAGGGCTATTAGGGCATTCAAGCGCGACTAGGCCTTAAACAATGCTTAGCAAGGCCGAGGGTGTTTGTAGAACATCTGCCCACGAGACCGCTTCTGCAACCTCCCGGTCATTCCGAGGTCCAAATTGACCTCCGTGTGTCTCGGGCACTTCTTTGGGCCTTTTGGGGTTTGCAGTTTGGGGGTTCGGGTGTTGGGCATGTTTGGGGCTTAAGGTGTCAAGTTTAGGCAGGTTTAGGGTATGGCGATGTTGGTCCGGGTGTGAGACGCACGAGGCCTTGCGTAGTTCAAAGAACCTGCCGGTTGGATCACGACGAGAAGCCCGTATGCGACCATCACTAGATGTTAGGCAATACTTACTGAGAAGCATCGCAGTATCCCACGGATTTTTTCGTCAATATCATAATTATCTGAAGTTCTGCGGAATTTAAGAAAGATCACCTCTGTCACCAAAGTCAAGGAATAGTTCGTGTAGATCACCGTAAGACGCTCCCCGAATTCTCAGGACCATACCCTCAAGCTTAAAGCCCTAAACCCCAAACCAACCCCACATTCACGGCAGAGACGTCTACCGGTTAACCGGTGGGCGCTTTTGCCCTGGTAATCGTGCTAGACTCGGGTGTTTCCTTTGCGAGCCGCCAATACCCAAGCATATGGAATCCTAAACCCTGAGCCGTTTGTCAAAGGGGAAAAGGAGGGACCCTTAATGGGGACCCCTACCCTATAATGGGCTATAGAATGGGTATATAATAGCTGTATTGAGGGTATATACCTAGGGGTTCTTGTTAAGGGTCCCTCCTTTAACCCCTGGAGCTTGGGAAACCCTAAACCCTAGCTCCAACAGGCCCACTGCCTAAGGCCCGTAATTGGCTGGACAGCACGAAGCGCGAATTTCTGAACCCTAAAGCCAAGGAGTTTCTGCCTTCTAAGAGTTGAGGGGTTTAGGTTGAATTCTTGGGGGTTTGGGTGAGTAGTGCAGTAAGGGTTTAGGGTGTTTAGGGTTTTGGGTGTTTAGAGGTTTACCTGGAGGGTCATTATGGGACTTCGCGACTAGGGTTATTATTCGGGCTTTCTCTACTTATGACCCCAATTAATGTATAACCCGTACTTACTAAGTATCATGAGCCTCCGAGTAGAACCGTAACCTCACCTACGCCCAAAACAGTCTCGTAGCCTAACTACACCCTAAACCCTGAAGGCCCTAAATCCTATGGGTCTGCTTTAAGGAGCCCTTGAAGAAGCCAGGCCGTAAACCCTGTAGAGCCCTTTTAAGGAACCCTTTAGGGAGCCCTGTAAGGAACCCTTTTAGAGGCCAAGGGTTGAGGGGTCGGGTTGTGGCTCTATGGGAACTCTTAGCTCATTGACTCGGGATTAGGGTTTAGGTTTGGGTTTAGGGGTTAGGGGTTTAGGGGTGTAGGGTTTAGGGTTTAGGGATTTCCCTTCTTTCGGGTTCCTTGGAAACGGACCTAACTTAGAGAACCACCCATATCCTTTTCGGGATCCCCCGAAACCATAAACCCCTAACTTAAACTTAGAGGCCAATGCCCTTGGTGTTGGGGAGTTGTCCAGGTGATGGACGCGCGCAAGAGATACAGATGCGAGGACTTCATCGACAACGCAAACTACTTCCTCAGGACTTTGCGGGTGTCCGAAAAAGGCCCAGGTCGCCGCCGGGCGTTCGCGTGCTCTTGTTCCAGCAGCGCTGGCTCGACCTCATTCTCTCCGGCGAGAAAACTGTGGAAGTCCGCGGCCAGCGTTGTCGGACTGGCAGAGGGTGACGTCTGTCGCAGGAGAGAGTCGATGCTCACAGAATTCTACGGCGGCCACCTTCTGCTGGACTGTTCTGACTGTGCGCTGTTTAGGGTTAGGGTTTAGGGTTAAAGCTCTCGGTAGCAAAGGGGCATACATTTTTCGTGATCAAGGTCATCGTCATATCTGTCACTAGTAACCTTGACTGCATCTTTGTCAATTCAACGTCGCTTCTGTTCACTATCGTTGTCACGCTAATACGGGATCTTCCGAAATTAGGTCACCATAACATAGCACCCTAAATAGTAGGATCCTTATCATAAGGACCCCAAAATAGGGTACCCCTAATTTTCGGAAACTCCCATATTCGCCGGAGAAAGGCCTTGGCACCAAAGGTGGAGCCGTCAATGGAGAGAGGAGACACCGATGACTGGTTCTTGGTAAGGGGTTTACTTTAAATTACCATGGATAAACAAACCCTAATGTTTACTATAGATCCTTTTTTTGTGGTCACTTAGATTCAACCCCTTAACAAGGACCCAGATGAGGTCGGGAACGGGGCTGAAGCCGTTGTTTGGCGAAAGCGCCGGAGCCGGAGGAAGAAGAACTTGTGCAGGTTCCGGTGGTGCCGCCGCGCAGCGCGTACAAGGCGGCGGGGAGGAAGTCCCGGGTCGCTTCTTGCTGTTGCCTATATGGGGGGTTGTCAATATTAGGGTCCCTTTTTGGGTCCCCAATATAATACGGCACCTATTATTTAAGGTACCCAAAAATGGACCCTAATTTTGACAACTACCCATATGATTGCTATGCAAAGTATTGCAGTTGCTACTGAGTAGTAGAGTAAGTATCCTACAAACCCTAAAACCTAAACAGTCCCAAAGGCTAAGCTCAAATAGCTTAAGTTCTCGGATACTGGGCAAGTAATCCTGACGATGACCCCTTCCTGATCTAGCAACCCGCTCTAAACCCTAAACAGCCAGGCCCTTCATGACGCATTGCCATGCGGCGGCCCAGTTTAGTGGCGATCGGGTTGCGTGACTCGGCAGGGAAGGATTTGGGTAGTTCTCTAAATCAAGGCCCCTGTTGAGGACCCGAAAATAGTACGGCTCATACATGGGACCCTAAATGGGACCCTGATTTTTGGAGGCTCCTTCTACTGAGTCTACTGCTCATACAACGCCCATGGAGCCCAAACTTAAAACCTAAGCCCACACCAAGCCTGAACCCGAGGCCCTAAACCCCTAAGCCTCAAATCCCTAAACCCTCAACTCCCAAACATCAAACCCTAAACCCCAAACCCCTAAACCCCATTGTTTTATATTCTCAAACCCTTTGTAAAGGGTTACGGTTTCATTTCGGCAAGCTGTCAGGAAGTGCAAAAACCCTGTAAAACTTTAGCATTAAACACTTGCTTCAACCGAACCATGAGGTCTAGAGTTTGGGGTTTAGGTCTTAGGGTCCAGGGCAATGCCCTATTCGGCAACTGGTTTTGGTCTGTATACAACCAAAATCTGTCAAACTTGCCCAAAAAATCTCAAGGTTTTATCAGCCTGCTGACCAAAAGAAACATCCAGTGGATCTCGAAATCGGGAATTTTCGAGGCTCCTTGTGGCCCCCGGCATCTACTTCCTCTCGCTGCCGGCGCTTGCCGTGCTGAGCCTCTTGACAGATTTTGGGGCGAGAGAGGTTGACGAATCAGGGTTGTATTTGGGGAGCGGCAACGCTCATAGTTTCAGCATATTCAGTTTGAAGCCTACCCCGCTTCCAGGGATGCTATCTTGCATAGTTTATGTGTTGGGTGCTTTGTCCTGATTCCTACTTTAAGGCTCACGGGACTTAGTAATTAAGTAAGGTTGTAAGTAGGTCATAGTTAGGATAACGCCACTTAGGGGACTTATAATAACCCCAACTATAACCTACTTACTAAGTCCCATGACCCTTTAAGCAGCCTAAACTACTCCTTATAGAACCCCTATATAGATCCCTTAAAGGAGCCCTTTAAAGGAACTTACTTACTAAGTCCCATGATCCTTTAAGTATATCTAGCGTCAGGCCTGGAGCTGTTTATTCGCAAGGGCTCCCCAGAGACTCCAACATCCCTTAATTAAGGAATATTCCTAGGGTCCTTTAAGGGATCTGTAAGGGATCTATAGGGTTTAGGTTTAGGGGTTTCTAATATCCTTTAATTAAGGAATATTCCTTAAATCATATTCGGGATCTTACTATAATTTAAGGTATATTCCTTAATTCAGGGATATTGGAGTCTCTGGGTCTCCATGAAGCCCAAAGACACTCTTGAACCGTCTATGGGGGTTTCCGATAATAGGGGACCCTAATATAGTATATACCCTAAATAGTGGGATCCTTATTATGACGACCCCCAAATAAGGTACCCCTAATTTTCGGAAACTCCCAAATAAAACCTAGACCCTAAATTCCCGAACTCCATTGACTGAGGGGCCCCTTCTAAAGGAGGAGTATGCTTTCGGATGATCTTAACCCAGGTCTATTCCTTACTTTAAAGGCTCCTGGGACTTCGTAACTGGGGTAATGTAACTATACTTATAATTACTTATGACCCCAATTAAGGTACGTATAACCTTACTTCCTAAGTCCCATGATCCTGCAAGTACCTGAGGCTCCAGGGTTCAGGGTTTAGGGACCTTCGCCGAGGTCGACGTTTTGTAAGACTTTTTGGGCTTCCATCTTGGGTTTGCTAGGGTTTAAGGTTTTGGGTTTAGAGTTTAGAGGTTTAGGGTCTAGGGGTTTAGGGTTTAGGGTTTTGGGGTTTGATTCTTACAGGACCATAAGATGTAGAAGAAAGGGTTAGTGTTCCGGTAGCTAAACATGTTAATTCGTACTTATAGCCCCAGAGCACCATGCCCAAATCCCAGCACCTGATTGGGAAAGGGTTCCAGGAATTCAGCCGTGCAAGTTGTAAATAGCTGCACAGAGCAACTGGTGCCAGAGCTTGTCGTGTGGGTTGGTTCAAGGGAGGTGGGTACTGGGGAACCTTAGCGAACCTTACGGAAAGCTCAATGGGCACTAGTGAGAAAGTGGTGATGGGTATAGTTACCTTATCTATAGCCCCGTTTTAAAGGTGTATTGTCCTAAGGGGCTTATAGTGTTCCGTGAGATTTTACCATTGTTTCCGAGCATGATTTTAAACTCTAAACCCTTATAACCCTGAACCCTCAACCGTAAACACCTAAGCCCTAAACCCTAAACTCTAAACCCTAAACCCCAAACACCTAACTCTACCTGGGGTCATTTGTCGGATCTGCTGGATCTACTTAAACAAGGGATCTATAAGGCATCAAAACGGATTTAGGGTTTAAGGTTTACTTTCAAAAACAAGGTTACCATTACGGTATCTGAACTTACACTTAGTGATAAACCCAACTGAGGTACTTATAAACTTAAAATCTTACTTCCCAGGTCCCATGATCCTTCAAGTACCCTTTTGTTGATAGAGGGTTTCCGAAAGCACAGTTTTGGGTGCCGTCGGAGCTGAGTAGAGGAACTGTGAACCGTAGAAGCCCGAGCTAGGTAAGTTCAAAAGCCCTAAATCCTAGGTTCCTGAGTAGTACCCTTTTGCCCTTTTTATTTTGGCGCCCCCTTATTAAAACTCAATACTAAGAAAAAGGGTACCCTTATTATTTGGGGGTCACTCAGGAACCTAGAATCCTTAACCGCCTAAGCCCAGCAGGTTCGAATTTGGAACACCGTCCGAAAGCCCCGAAGTTAGCCGACTAAGCTGCCAAAAACTAACCATTCCTGAGCTTAACGCCGGAAACTGCCCAGACCTTCCAAAATCCGATGACTAAGGAATATGCCTTAAATCGTTTTAGGGATCCTGCTAAAGTTTAGGGAATAATATTCCTTTATCAGAGGTTTTTGGGAACGTCTGGGTCTGGGTGACCACCCTGCTGTAGCTTCTGCACTTGGTGGAACTAGGTTTAGGGTGTAAGGCGAAACTCTTCTCGTCTTTATCTTTATGACTGCGCAACAATTCTAAGCACAAGGCAGAAATTCTCGGATGGTAAGACGGGAACAGACACGAACGTTGCAGACTTTGAACCTTTGCTATGAGCCGACCCTCCCTACGCAGATACCCTGCACAGAGATTCCGACACTCCTTACTTCACATTTTAAAGTCATGTTCAAAATCTCTCTTTTGATCTAAGGCGTATTCCTTAAATAAGTGATTGGAAACTGTAGTTGTCCTAGAACCCCAAGCCTTTTTATTCGAACTGTAGCTCCCAAAACAAGTTCACTAGACCCTGCTTGGAGGGTCGGGGGACTTAGTAGCTGGTTATTTTAGGGACTTATAAGTACCATGACCCCAATTAGGGTCCCCTTTAGGGTACTTATAAGTCTACTTACTACCTACTTACTAAGTCCCCCGACCCTCCAAGTACACCCCCAACCCCCGAACCCTAGATCTGGAAGCCAAGATACTTTTCTGTTTTGTGCTTGCACTAGACCGTACTTAAGCGATCATGGGACTTAGTAAGTAGGTTATAACTGGTGTTATAAGTCCCCTAAGTAGGGCTTCTAGGGCTTCGGGGTTTAGCTTTGAGGTGTTGGGGTGTTGGGGTTGAGGAATGAGGGATTTGGGTTTAGGGATTACGGTTGATGATATAAATCCTGCATTACCCCCAATAAGGAATATACCATAATTCCCATAGTTGAGGGTCCTTAGGGCAATGCAACAGTAGGTTAGGGTTTAGGGTTTAGGGTGCTCCAGTTCCAGCAGGCTGTAGCTCGCTACTTCGGTACTTAAAGGATCATGGGACTTAGTAACTAGGTTATAAGTTATCAGTGGGTTATAAGTCCCCTAAGTGGGGTTATCCTAATTATGACCTACTCATAACCTTACTTACTAAGTCCCATGAGCCTTTAAATAGGAGTCAGGACAAAGCACCCAACCCCCCTAAACCCTAAACCCTGAGCTCTAAACGCCTAAACCCCCCAAAACGCCCATAAGTCCGAAGCCAAGATACTTTTCTGCTTTGCGCCTTGACGGTCTACGCTGTGTTGCCCTGTCTCAGACGACATGGCTGGGAGTTTAACGAGGACTGGGGGTTGTAGAGGGCCCTGGTTTAGGGTTTAGGGTTGGGCTTAGGGTTTCGGGTTTACGGCTTAGGGTTTAGGGTTTAGGGTTTAGGTTTAGGGTTTAGGGCTTAGGGCTTAGGGCTTAGGGTTTAGGGTTTAAGGTTTAGGGTTTGGTTTAGGGTTTAGGGTTTACTTAAAGGATCATGGGACTTAGTAACTGAGGTTATAAACAAGGTAACTATACTTCTAAGTACTTAATACCCCAATTAAGGTACTTCTAACCTTACTTACTAAGTCCCATGATCCTCCAAGTAGTGTTGGGTTTTGCGTTTAGGGTTCCGAAACCCTTCAGTTAATACGTAGACCTTCAGCTATAGAGGGTCCTTATTATGACGATTCACAGGATCATGAAAGGTATATTCCTTGGTTAAGGGCTTTTGGAGGTTTTGGGTTGGGGTGTTTTAGGGCAGAGTGCCCGGGTTTCCGCCAGCAATACTGTGGCTATTTCTGCAGCTCCCGCAGAAGGCTCCTGGTACTTCCGGGTGCAAGGTGTACTTAAAGGATCATGAGACTTAGTAAGTAGGTTATAATTGGGGTTGTAAGTCCTCTAGGTGGTGGCTATCCTACTTATAACCTACTTATAACCATACTTACTAGGTCCCATGAGTCCCATGAGCCTTTAAGTAGGGTGCAGGGCTATTTCATACTCACACTTTTCAGATGAAACTCCATCAACTCTGTACACCTGAGACGGTAAGCCCCCAAAACCCAAAAGCCCTTTAAACTTTAGCCACCAGTACCTAGCTATATTTAGGGTCAGAGTTTGAACATAAACTTATTTGGGGAGTTCGCGGCGTTTGGCGTCGGGCCGGATTCAACAGAGCTCCTTAAAGGGTTTTACATCGGTTTTTTTGGGGGCTTACCTTAACCCCAGAAAACATATAGTGGATCCCAGAAACTTGGAACATGGATTAAGGATGATTAGTGCCGGGATTCCCTGTACTTTACCTTAGGGGCAGGAGGATACTTTCCGGCTTCAACTGTACCTTTTTCAGGACTTTTATAGAGAAGTCATATGAGGAAACCCTAAAAAGCAAGATTTCCTAGGGTCCGGGTGAAGTTTGAGGGTTCGGTGTTGAGGGTGATCCTTGCCGGAACTCCGCAGCCCACAGCCCTCCACCCTAGACCCAGCACCCCTTCACCCCTAAGCCCCTGGGCTGCAAACCTTGAACCCTAAAACTTGGAACCCTACTGCAAACCCCCAAATCCTAAACCCAACCTAAACCACTGAAGCCCAAAAACCCCAAACTGCAACGCTTGGGAATGAGGAACCTAAAAGCGCCCTTGTTGGCTACCTTTAAAGTGGGAGTATGGGATATCCCAACCTTATGGTTGTTCTTTATTTGCTTTTGGGGCCCTACTGTTGATGATATAAATCCTGCATTACCTTAAGGATCCTTGACTATGGGAATTATGGTATACTGGGAGGAGCAGAGGACTTAGTAAGTCGTTTATATGTGGGGTTATAGTTGGGGTAGCTCCATTTAGGGTACTTATAAGTCTACTTTTAACGTACTTACTAAGTCCCTAAACCCTAAGCCCTACACCCTAAACGGCCCTAAACCCTAAATCCTAAACCCAACTAAGTCCCCTGCCCCTCCAAGTATGGTATATTCTTTTATTATCAAGCGTAGGGAAGTTTTCCAGAGGCTGGCAAGAAGAAGCAGAAACGCGAGAAAGCCCTCAAGCTGCTCCCCGGCTTTCCCAAGCGGTCCGGTTTAGGGTTTAGGGCTTGGGGTCTAGGGTTTGGGGTCTAGGGTTTAGGGTTTGGGGTTTAGGGTTTGGGGTTTAGGGTTTAGGGTTTGGGGTATGGGGTCTAGGGTTTAGGGCACTGTTATGAGGGATGCTTCCCAAATCATCATAGTAATTCCTCATATAGAAACCCTACATTCTACTATATGGGAGTGTCCGAAAACTAGGGGTACCTTGTTTTTGGGGTCCTTATTTTAGGTGCTATGTTAGGGTCCCCTATTTTCCCCCCATATTGCTACGTGGGACCCTCTGTGGTTGAACTATAACGGATCTAGAGAGATTTAGGGTTAAGGGGTCTATTTGGAGGGTGATGGGACTGAGTAGGCAAGGTTGTAGGTACCTTGAAGGGGCTGATAGGCTGATAGGTGTTTACAAGTGTACAAAATAGGTGCATTATTTACGCCCCTGGTGGCTAAGTCCGAGTCCCTAGGCCTCAGCTGAGAGTTTAGGGGTTCAGGGTTACGTTTGGGGCTTACATTAGAATTCAGGGGCTTAGGCTTTAGGACTTTAGGTTTCAGGAGTTTAGGGGTTTAGGGTTTCGGGGGTGGGGGGTTTAGTAAAGTGTACTGTATTGAGTTTGGGGATCTGTAGACTTGAGAAAGATCAGGGTCTTCAATCAGGGATTGGGCCCTAAACCCTCCGAGCTTCTACAGTTTTCCCGTGCTCAAGTTGTGTCCTTCCTGGGACACTCATGAGTTTGCTCTGCTCAAATGCGTTTTGCGATGGTTAGCCAGAGTGCGACGGGTTTTGAAAAGCAGCTTGGGTTTAGGAAGATCATCCGGATGAGAGTGCGATGGGGGTTTAGGAAGCTCATGTTTGTGTTTTGGTGAAGTTTCATCGAGGTTTTTTTGGGCAACTGCTACGCGGACTCGTTACTCCGCTGTCCGTTTAGGGCTTCGAGCTTAGGTTCTAGGGTGTGTGACAGTTTCTCTAGTTCCTCTAGGTTCTCCATATTGCTGTACTAGGGTCCGAAACAGAAAAGTTGTCTTGTGAAGAGCTCCGTGCTTGAACAGCTCCAACTATTTTTTCTCAACGAAGTAGCGGCATCATTTCCCTTAAGTCTCCCACATAACTGAGGAACCTCATGTACGTATGTATGTATGTATGCATGCATGTAGGCATGTATGCACGTATGCATGTATGCACGTATGCATGCATGCACGTATGTCTGTATATGTGTATGTGTACGTGTGTATATATATATATGTTTATTTGATGAATTGTCCCGTGTATTGTCGGGAAACCAAGGATGATTCAAAAGGTGAATAGAAGGTGAACGAAAGGTAATTAAACGGTGAATACAACGTGGATGAAACGGCGAACGAAAGGTGAACAAGACGTGAATCAAAGGTGGATAACAGGTGAACCAAATGTGAATGAAAGGTGAATAAAAGGTGGCTAAAAAGGCGAGCAAAACATGAAGCAGTGGCAAGATGAGTCTTTGGTTTCAGGAGCCTTTATCTCAGCCCGCGGGCGAAGTAGCGGCATGGCCGATCCTGAGACGACCTTTCCCATCCATGGCCTTGCACATTCTCAGACGTCACCTTTTTCTACTACTACTGTTGATGATATAAATCCTGCCTTACCTTAAGGACCCTAAACTATGGGAATTATGGTATACTCCCTATAAAAATGGGTGATGCAGGATGTAGATCATGAGCCGTATCCACCTTTTCATTCACCTGGCCTCAAGCTTTGGTTCACATTTGTTTCACCTCTTGTCCATTGTTCACATTGCTTTTACCTGTGGGACCTTTGGTTCATCCTCTTGCTACAAACAAGCATTCGTTAGGCTTTTACTAGGTTCATAGTATTGACACATGACTCAAACAGGTTTTCAAAAGGAGACCTAGGTGTTTTGATGTATACGAACTCATCAGGCGGCCATTAAAGTCGTAGAAGGATGTTTGCCAATCTAGCTTTTTCAATAAAAAACTCGAAATTCCGATGACTTCACCTACTTGTTCTACATGGTTCCTATCAGTTGTTTCGTTTTACCCTTTGCCGGTTCCTAATTAGAACTAAGTAGGCTGTTATTAAGTTAATATTATATATATATATATATATATATGTATGTATATATGTATATATATATATATATAGAGTTCGACTAGATGTTAAAGGAAATCCAGCTTTTTCATAAGAAATTATGCTGCCATTAAACCTATATTGGATTGTGCACAGTTTTGTCATACTTCATCGCCTTTCCTACGCATACCATCCCATATTGTTTATGTATACCATCACCTTTGATGTTACCTGTGCCCTGCCACCATTGAGTCACCTGTATGACACCTTTTTCGGTCAACTTGAACACAGGACGAGATCATCATAAATAAATTTAGATTTATATGTACATTGTATGCATATATATATATATATATGTCTGTATATATGTATATATATATATATATATATATATATATATATGTATGTATGTATGTATGTATGTATGTATGTATGTATGTATGTATGTATGTATATGTGTATGTATATATGTGTGCGTGTATATATATATATATATATGCGCACCCCCGCCCGCAAAGCTTCTTGCTCCGACATCTTCGTGACGCTCTGAACCACGCATCCAGAAGCCTCGAGCCTCGTGCGCTTTAGTGTTCCGTATCTGCCTGTACGTGAAGGATCATGCGACTTAGTAGCTAGTGTGATAATGATAGATAAGGTGACTATACTTGTACATACTTTTACGCCCACTTAGGGTACTTATATCCTGACTCACCAATACCCATGATCCTCCAAGTAGGTGCCAAAGGCAGTTACCTTGTTGGTGTCCTGGTGCAGTGAAAGACAACCTTCCAAGTCTGGAAACCCAGAAACTCCTATGAAGTATCCTTAACCTTACATGCAAGAGCAGATTGAGCTTAAGAGAAAGAAGCTTGTGTAAATACCAATGCCATCCCTTAAGGTGCCTCAATATAACTATACACTGTAATGTACCCCGAAACCATGTTCTAATCATCAAGGCCACTACACCACAGTGCCGGGTTTCGAGCTCGAGCTCGAGGAACCCTACAACAAAACCTTTGCTTGAAAGCATCCGAAACTCAAGGAACGTCACCTAAACCCTAAGCCCTAAACTCCAAATCCTTGACCCTAAACCCTAAAACCCTAAACCCTTAAAACCCTAAAAGCCTAAACCCTAAGCCCTAAGCCCGAAATCCTGAACCCCCGAAACCCGCAAGGTTGAAGAAAGCCTTGGCAGACCCTCTGCAGGCTCATTTCAGAAATGGGAGCGGGGGTGCCTTATTTTGGGGTCCTTATAATGAGGACCCTACTATTCGGGGTACTATATCTGGGTCCCCCATGTACGGAAACTCCCACATCCTTGTTGGGCTTTGCGTTGAGGGTTTCAGGTTTCGGGCTGATGGCTGATAATCGCATTTACGGACTTAGTAAGTAGGCTATAACTGGGCTTGTGAGTCCCCTAAGTGGGGTTATCCTAATTATAACCTACTTATAACCTTACTTACTAAGTCCCATGAGCCTTTAAGTAAACCTCTAAACGGGAAACCTCCTTATTTGTGGCGGGCTCGGACTTCAATGTGAGCTTTGAGGTGAGTAACGGCTCAAACCAGAACTGTCTTAGGGAAGGGGGGTTGGGCTTGAAGGCTTAAGGGTTTAAGGGTTTAGGGTTTGGAGTTTCGGTATGAACCAGGTAATTAGTTCACATATTAAGATCTTCGTGACTATGTGCACGATGTATTGCTGATTGTAACAATGGGCTTCGTGCGGGATACTGTAGAACAGGTCTACAACTGAGCTGCGCGCCGACCCACTTTACTTTGAAGCTTTCCTTTGGGCTGCATTTAGGGTTTAGGTTTTTTGCAATTTATGGTTCAGGGGTGTCGGGCTTAGGTAAGGCGTCTCGAGCACGAAGTCAAGGTGGGGATCCAGCTCTCCGTTTTGCACCAGACGAATACATCTCCCAAGACCGAAGACCTTTGTTGTTCTTATCCTGGTGCAGCTCTGTGTGCAAAGGAGAGCACCACTCAGGCGAGCCACTGTGCAAGGCGCTTGAGTCCATCTTGAGTCCGCCAGACTCTGCACCCCTTCGGTACCTCCTTCTCTGCTGTTCGAGCCCAACGTGTACGGCTTCCGGTCCCTCTTTCAGGGAGATCACATAGGAGTCGAGTTTGCCACTCAAGCCCATGCTCACCTTCTGCAAGAGGCTGGTCTCCTGAGAGACGAGCACCGGCTCCTCGCGAGAATGCCTCCCTCGAGGTCGGGGCCTTGCTTAAAGGCTCATGGGACTTAGTAAGTAAGGTTGTAAGTAGGTTATAATTAGGATAACCCCACTTAGGGGACTTATAACCCCAATTATAACCTACTTACTAAGTCCCATGATCCTTTAAGTGGGAAGCCCTCATCATCGATGACTACTTTGTCGTGTCATGTGAGCGGGCAAGTGTTGTGGCGGAGCAGGCTGAAGCCACACGCAGAGTGTTCGGAGCAACGGAGGTCTATCAGGCATCTACCCAGGGGCCCCAAAGTAGTTCCTTTTTAGGTAGTATATTATAGTCCTTAACCAAAAAAGAGGACACACCCAAAAAGGTGCTACTTTGGGGCCCCTGGGTAAGGTCAGCGGGTCTGATCACAAGGACGTTTTGGGGGCAGCGGTCCTCCAGGCCGTCGGAGCGCAAATAGATTCGTCGCCGCTCGCCAGGTCGCACACCACGTTCTTCAAAGGGCAAAAGGAGGGACCCCTAATGAGGGCCCCTAGGGTTTAGGGTTTTTAGTGTTTTAGGGTTTAGGGTTTAGGGTATAAGGACCCCTAGGTATATACCCATAATTTCGCCATCATATACCCATTATATAGCCCATTATAGGGTAGGGGTCCCCACTAAGGGTCCCTCCTTTTCCCCTTTGAGTTCTTGTGTCAGCCCCGACTGGGAAGTTGCTTGCCCACCAGCTTCAGCACGGTGCCCAGAGACTCCAATATCCCTTAACTGAGGAAGCAACCTTAAGTTATAATTCGTCCCTAGTATGATTTAAGGTATATTCCTTAGTCAAGGGTGGCCGGGCAGGGCGGTGGGGGTGGGGTAGTTTAATCTGCTAGGTTGGCTTCGGCCTGAATGCGTTGAGCAGACGGCACGTATCAAAAGGGTGTAGATTCGTGGCAATGAATACCCAGAGACCCCAAGACTTTTAAATCAGGCATATACCTGAAATTCTAACAAGGATCATGTTGTAATTTAAGGTTATGTTCCTTCAATAAGGGGTTTGGGAGTCTCTGGGAATACAAGTTCGGGTTCAAGTCTTGATCAGCTTTGATCATCCCGGAGTTCGGCGCACGTGGGGGCCGCGCCTGTGATGACCACAAGATTCTTGAGTTCTGCAAGGAGGTTCCGGGTTCAGGGCTTTACCTGGACCCCAAAAGTATGTAGAGTAACAGCCTTTTATAGGTGCTGGGCTATTATTTTAAAGGTGTTGGGCTATTATTTTACCGACTTTGGGGGGTCTAGGTAGGGTTTTGTGGTTTAGGGTTTAGGCGGTTCGAGTTGAGGGTTTAGGTTGTTTAGGGTCTAGGCGGCTTAGGGTTTGCGAGTAAGGAGTGCCTGGCAGAGGTGCCAACCTCTCTAAAACGTGCCAGCAACAGCACCAGAGCCACGGTTTAGGGTTTAGGGTTTTGGGTTTAGGAAGCTATGATGGCAATGGCCTGTATAAGACTTTTCTCCCTTTGACTGAAATTATGAAAAGGCAACAGCTCAAGCAGCTAAACTTTGCGCCCTAAGCCCCAGAACCTCGAACCCTGCACCCTTTGGCCTCAAAGCCCCACACCCTAAACCCAAAATCCCTAAACCCTAACTCCTAAACCCAAGCTCCTACTTGGAGGTTCATGGGTAGTCATAAGAGGTGTTATAAGTGCCCTAATGTGGGCTATGATTATGGTTACCCTAATTATAACCCCACTTATAACTACCCATGAAATTCCAAGTAAGCCCTAAACCCTATACCCTTATAGAATCCCTATACATCCCTTTAAACGGACCCTTAAAGGAACCCTGAGGATACCGTAGCTATACCAAGGAACCCTAAGGATTACTGGCCCGAAGGACCAGGCCTTTGAGCTTTAGGTTGGTTGGTTTAGGGTTTAGGGTTTAGGGTTGGTTGGTTTAGGGTTTAGTGTTTAGGGTTTAGGGTTGGTTGGTTTAGGGTTTAGTGTTTAGGGTTTTTGGATTCAACGGGCCACTGACCACCTGATACCCAACGAATCGGCTTGCGGTTTGGGGCATCATAGGGGGGCCGAAATCAAGACCAATCCTTTTTGTTTTTTTGGGGGAGGTTCTGATTATATAGTAGAATATGCCTCAAAAACCCTCCTTTCTATAATTATCTGGGCCCCTGTGCTAGGGCAGCTGGTTCTCCATCTCAGGAGTATTCCTCAACTGCGCACAGAGCGCGCCGACCTGAAACCTCACAGGGCTATCAGGGTGGTTGTGAAATTATGGTGTCTTTTCGGGTCCCTAAAACCCTAAACCCTAAACCCTAAACCCTAGTACGGGACCGAATATTTATTTAGGGTGCCCAAATAGGGGCCCTAATTTTGACAACTACCCATCAGGGTCCTTGAAAGGGTTTGGTGTTCCCTGGGTGAGAGTTTAGAGTTGTAGGGTGTTCGGGCTTAGGGCTTGCCCTGCACCCGTAGTCTTAAACCTAAGCGTGTAGGATGTACTAGTGGGGTTTGGCAGAAGGGGTAATCCGAAATAAGTATCTGTCTTACTTTGGGGGGGTGCCTGATGAGAGTTATAGGATAATATACCCCAAAACCTTATTAGCATTAATTAAGGCCCCTACATTACACTACCCTTATAGATCCCTTATAGTAGCCCTTACAGACCCCTGTACAAACGAACCCTCTGCATATTGTTAAGGCCCCTTTCGCAGACCGTGACTTCCTTTTGGCCACACTCGGAAGTCGCAGGCACTTGGCCTCACCTTCGAGGATCTGGAGGCAGCTTTCAGAACCCTAAACCCTAGACGAGACGCTTGGTTTTGCTCGAGGGCGGGGGTTTCAGGATTCAAGCTGCTTGGGTTCAGGGCTTCGGGGCTGGGAGTTTGGGCTTTAGGGTGTAGTGTTTAGGGTTGTTGGCTTAAGATTGCTATCCTCAATCCCGTTGCTCGTGATCCTGGCTACGTGCTCTATCGTCGACGGTAAACGCATGTCCTAGGAGGTCGGTAATCTACCTTTCTACCTAGCTACCTATCTGTCGATCTATCTACCTATCTATCTGTCTAATTACGTGTCTCTCTCTCTATGTCTATCTCTCCACCTCTCTCTCTCTCTCTCTCTGTACCTTCCTGCCTGCCTCCTGCTGCCTCCTGCCTGTTTCTAAACCCCCAAACCCTTAAACCCCTAAACTCCAAACCCTAAACCCCTATAGATCCCTCAAAACAACCCTTGAAGAATCCTTCAAAGGAACCCTAAACTACCAACACTAAACCCTCATGGATCCGTTAAAGGAACCCTTAAATTCAAAAACCCCTACAAGGGCATTAAAGAATTCCATACTAGGGTCCCTTGTAAATAAAGCCTAAGCCACCAAACCCCTAGACCAAAGAATCCCTTAAAGGAGCCTTGAACCCAAAATTTCAGAATCCCTTGCAGGAGCCCTGAACCCTAAATTTCAGAATCCCTTAAAGGAGCCCTAAACCCTGAATTTCAGAATCCCTTAAAGTTGCCCTAAACCCTAAACCCTTCCGCGCGAGGCCTCGGGGGTGTTGTCGAAGCTGGCCCTTCTGAGCCTCCGGGCTTTGGAGTAGCATACTTCAATATTTTGTTGTGACTTGATCGGTTTTTAATTGCTTTTTTGGGGACCCGCTACTTATAGGGTTTGGTGGTTTAGGTTTAGGGGTCTAGGGGTTTGGTGGTTCAGGGTTTATGATGTACCTTAGGGTTCCTTTAAAGGACTTACATATGGGTACTATGAGGGCTCCTTCAAAGGGCTTTCTAGGGTTTAGGGTTTAGGGCTTATGATGAAAGAGAAGTCTATACTTTTGTCTCCCTAGTTACTTCATAACCCAGGCCTCCAGCACGGCACAGAGGAGCCCGAGCCCTTCGTGGCAGGCGGGTTTAGGATTCTTTGTTTAGGGGTTTAGGGTTTCGGTGTGGTTTGGGGTTTTGGGTTTTAGGGGTGGAGGTTTTAGGGTTTAGGGCCTCCGGGCGGTTTGCGTTGGGTGTTAAGGCTTCAAGGTTTGGGTGTGACTCAGCGACTCCCATACCCGAATCCTAAGCCATGCAAACCTTCGTCCCGAGAACCTTCAACCACAAACTTTGAGAATCCCAATCCCTCATTAGCCCCCGAACCTTGGCCTTAAACTGGACGCACCTACGCCCAATTGGCCTTAGACCGCACCCTCAGCCCCAAACCGAACTAATTTCGGTAGCTCCTACACTGCAGAAGGCACAAGATTCGCTTCAAACTGCGGCACGAGTTTTTCGGGTCCAACCGTCTTGGGCGGAGGGTCGGTGGTTTGGGATTGTTTAGGGCTCAGGGGTTTGAGGGCTTGAGTCAAAGGGGAAAAGGAGGGACCCTAAATGAGGACCCCTAGGTATATACCCTTAATATGGCCATTATATACCCATTAAAAACCCCATTATAGGGTAGGAGTCCCCATTAAGGGTCCCTCCTTGTCCCCTTTGATTGAGCAAGCAGGGCTTCGGGTTCAGTGACTCCTGATGGCTGGACGCAGAAGAGATGGTTTGAGCACGCACAGGATGCAGCTCCTGGACAAAACCCTGAGTCAAAGGGGACAAGGAGGGACCCTAAATGAGGACCCCTAGGTATATACCCTTAATATGGCCATTATATACCAATTATGTAGCCCATTATAGGGTAGGGGTCGCCATTAGTTCTTACTTGCGCGCCTACGTTGTGGTGCTCCAGCCCTCATCCACTCTTCTAGCTTCCGAGCTTTGGAGCGGCATCGACGACGCAGGACTTGCGTGGGATCAATCAAGAAGTCCGCAGTGGACTCCCGATGTCCGACATGGTCTGAGTTCCAACGAGCGCGCCAAGGCAGTATGGACGTTCCTACCCAAGAGGTGTACAACTCCCTTCCTTGGGATTGTAAACCCTAAACCCTAAACCCTAAACCGAGAATTGCCTTAAGAACTTTGCAGGGGGCCATCCAGGGTCTGGCCCGACACTGCATGACCCGGGCAATCGGGCGGCCATTATCCACTGGGCCAAGAGGGTGTGCAACAGGTCCTTGCTTAAAGGCTCATGGGACTTAGTAAGAAGGTTATAAGTCGGTTATAATTAGGGTAACCCCACTTAGGGGACTTATAACTTCAGTTATAACCCACATACTACGTCCCATGATCCTTCAAGTGCCGGCTATGCCAGTAATTAGTCGCAGACTCTTCTGCAATCCGTGATGGCCTGCATCCTGAGAACCCCGCCTCGATCGGAGACTTCTGTCACAGGGCTCATAACTCCGAGGCTGCCCAGTAGTACCCTTATTCCCTTTTTGTAGTCCTAGGCTCCTTATAAAGTTACCCAATACCAAGAAGAGAGGCCTTTCTATTCTTAGGTTACTGGGTATCCTAGCTTCTGTCACAGGGCTCATGACTCCGAGGCTATGCCCCCGCGTGGAGCATACCTGGAGGGTCGGGCCTAAAAGGGACCCTAATTGGGGTTATGGTACTTATAAGTCCCTAGAATAACCAGTTACTAAGTCCCCCGACCCTTCAAATACTGAACGTGAGTCTTTACAACAGTTTTGGACACACACTGCAGTGCGGCATGAGGCTTGTCACGTGCGTGTATGCTTTCAGTATCGGGTAGAGTAATCCTGCATTGTGCTTTCCTATTTGCCCCTTGGGTGTTGCTTCACAAGCCGTGCCTTGCCAGCCTTACTGCCAGCTTCTTGATGAGATATTTCCAGCTTTGATTGCAGTGCGGAAGATGAATGGATCTAGTGGCTGTCCTCAGCGCGTTGTTCAGTTTCAGATGTTGCTTTCGTACCCTGGCAGTACTGTGTTCAGCCCACGTGAGCTGACGATGCTTGACACATGTTCAAGCTTGGTTGGGGTTTCAGGGGAGGGTTCTTGGTTGATGTCAGTTTGGGTTCTTCACAGGTGCATAGCGATGCCACAGGTCTCAACCACAGGCTCCCCCTGGTAAGGAATTCTCGCTGTACCTGCCCAGAAACAAACGGAGCTTGAAACCCTAATTCAACCTTATACCATGAATCGTAAACCCTGAGTCCTAAACCACCCTAAACCCTAAACAGCTATAAATCCTAATCTCTATACTCCTAAACCCTAACCATCAAAAACCATCTCAAATCCCAAACCCTAGACCACCTCTGCCAGGCATTCTCGAACTCTCCGTCTCTCTGTCGGTCCGAGCTTGCCGGCGGACCCGGGGACGTAGAAAGCCTGGGGTGTTCAATACAGTGGTATAAACTACCATTTGCTTAAGAACCCCCCCCCAAAAAAAAATATATTCCTTATGGTGGTAATATAGGGATTATTATTTGTATTTGTTGGTGGTTTCTTAAGCAAATAGTAGTAAAGCAACCCTTACAGAAGGGTTTAGGGTTAAGTGGTTAAAGGGTGTAGGGATTTCGACTCCAGGAACCGTCATAGGCTTCAGAATGCTTGCAGTACCCTTGAAGGAGCCCGTTTTGATCCTCAGAAGAGCCCTCGAAGAATACAAGCCCTCTGTTCCAAAAACCATCTACAACCCTTGTACCCCTTCATAGAGCCTTAAAGAAGCACTGAAACCCTGAAGCCCTCAATCCTGAAAGCCCTTCAACTCCAAAGTAAAGCGTTCCTTAAAGAGCCCTTTTAGAAGCTTTTGAAGCACTACGGTCCCTAAATAGACCTGTTTGGGAACCCTAACCAACCTCTTTCTTTCATATGTATTTAAACTGTGCTGGGTTCAATGCCCACGGAGTTTTCGCCAATGCCCACGAAATTTTCGCCGGCATTGGCAAAAGCTTCGTGCCCATCGCCGAAAATTCATGGGCAGTGGCGAAAGCTTCGTGGGTGCGGGCGATTTTCCTAGGGCTCGGGATTCAGTCATCTTTTCTAGCGGTCATGCCCTATTCGAAGCACCTTCAATCCCAAGGAGTGCCCCCCTAATCTTTTCTGGCGATGGTGCTCTAGACAGCCTTCAATCGCAAGGTGTGTCCACGTCATGCTTTCTGGTTATGATGTCTAGAAACCCTCTAAGCCCAAGGTTTAGGATTTAAGCCCAAGGTTCAGGATCTAGGCCTTTGGTTTAAGATTTTAGTTCTACGGCTCTTCGGGTTTAGGTCCTACTCTGAGCTGGCCTTTAGGGTCGGGGTTCTGGCGGTTTTTGTGGTTCAAGAGAGCGTAGATTTAGATTAGAATCTTGGGTTGGTGGGATGATTTGCGCTACTTAAAGGCTCATGGGACTTAGTAAGTAAGGTTATAAGTAGGTTATAACTAGGATAGCCCCACTTAGGGGACTTATAACCCACTTATAACCTAGTTACTAAGTCCCATGATCCTTTAAGTACCGAAGTAGTGAGCTACAGCCTGCTGGAACTGGAGCACCCTAAACAACAAACCCTAACCTACTGTTGATGATAAAACCCTGCATTACCCTAAGGACCCTAAACTATAAGAATCATGGTATATTCCTTATTGTGGGCAATGCAGGATTTGTATCATCAACCGTAATCCCTAAACCCAAATTCCTCATTCCTCAACCCCAACACCCCAACACATCAAAGCTAAACCCCAAAGCCCTAGAAGCCCTAACCCCAAAGCCCCAAAACCCTAAAAGCCCTAAAGCCTTAACCCCAAAACCTTGGAGACCCTTTAAAGGGAACACTATCTGCGGAGCACCAACATCCAAAGTTCGTTTCAGACTTGCAGAGTGGAACAAGCTGCTACGCCACGTGTACTCTCAATCCGCACTGGGCACCACAAGTGCTGCTCTTATTAGACGAGCAAGCCTGCACCAACTGGCGTGCACCATCTGGTCGACTAACACAGTTGAGTCGGCCTGTATGCGGATTGTTGGGCCAGCAGCAGTACTTCAATGGCATAATCGAAGAAGACTTTGTCACCAAGGTTTTTGGGAATGGACTCGGAATGCCACCCTGGGCTGGCTCGGTTTTGAAGTGGGCTAGAGAGCATACACATACGTGGAGCTGCCACCCACAGATCTGGAGCCAATATGTGGAGAAGTGGATGGAGAGAACAAGAAGGATGGCGGAGCTGAGGATAGAACCCTACAGTACCTTATTAAAAGAAACCTGTAAAACCCTTATGGAGCCTGTTTTGTTGCTTGAAAAAGACCTCAAAAGACCGATCAAACCACAAAACCCCGAACAAAATCCCAAACTAAACATAGATCCCTTAAAGGATCCTTTCTTTAAAAGGAACCCTTATAGACCCTTTCTAAAGCCCCCAAAAAGCCCCGAAACCCCCAAAACCATGAGGCCAAAAGCCCTAATTACACCCCTATCCCATTCCAGAAACCTTAAACGGACCCTCCAACAAACCTTTCTAGAACCCTACAGTCTACCCTTGAACGCCTTAGACGAACCCTTGAAGAACCCTTATGATACCCTCAAAAACACGATCTTTAAAACTTTTCAGGTCTCCTCCAAGTGCGCGAGGATCCGCACTTCGCGGCTCGAAGGGAAGAGCCCTACGGGCTTGGGATTAGGTGCCTGAATAATCAGGTACTCGGTTTTAGGATAGTAGTTACGTAGGTTAGGATTTTGGAGAGTATATGAATGTACATGATTATTTGGTGCTTGGACCCTTGGGGTAAGGTGTCAGGTTTCTAGAGTGTTCTACAGGGTCTAGTTTCAAGGGTGTCGTTTCAAGGGGTCCTTCATCAATATTTGGGTTTAGTTGGGGGTGTGAGGGTCTTTTGGGGATTTGTTGGGTTCGCTCTTGTATAGGTGCTTTGAAAGGTTCAGATGAGGGCTTTAGGGGTTAAGGATTTGTTTGGGGTTTCGAGTTGTTGAGGGTTTAGCGTTTAGGATTATTGTTTAGGTTTAGGGCTCACAAGTGGAGCTGTAGCTGAGTTTCCGCTGGCTTTCTTGAAGGTTCCTGTGAGGGGCTTAAGCGAGGTCTTCATGGGGTTTTCTGCATGTTTCCTGCAAGGGATCCTTTAAGGATGTGGTAGAGTAACTCTTTCGATGGGGTTTCTATGGGTTGTCTAGATGGGTTCCTTTACGGGTATTCTAATGAGGGTTTAGGTTTGGAGGTTCAGTGTTTACGGTTTACGGCGGCGTAGAGGGATCCGTAAGATTTGGGTATATTTCTTCAGTGAGGGGCTGTTGGGGTTGCTGCCTTGAAGTTGAACATGACGGTGACAGGGATGATGATACATCCTGCATTACCCAGAAAAAAGAATATACCATTATTCTCATAGTTTAGGATCCTTACGGTAATGCAGGATTTATATCATCAACCGCAGTTTGGGGTTTAGGGGTGGGGATTTAGAATGCATGGGCTTGCGTCTTGGATTTAAGTTCGCGCGTTTAGGAAATGGGTTTACCCAGGGGTTTAGACGATGAGGATGTTGACTGTGATGGTGACCTAGTTATCGTGAGATGCCGTTGCCGACGACGAGTAGTGAGGAGGATGCGGATGGCTGAAGGTGATGGCTATGTAACGCGACTGATCATGTTGTCATAGTAGTGCTTCTTCTTGGTGCTTTTAGGATTTAGGGTGGTGGTGGTGGTGGCGGGGAGGTGGGGGTGGCGGGGGTGCTGCTGCCACTGCTACCCAGTGTCAGAAATCCAACACTCCCGACCGGGCCCAAATCCTAAACGGTGGATGCTGATGAAGCCCTAGACCTTGAACCCGGCAAACCCTCGAGTCTCTAAACTCTAATCCGACAGACAACACGGTTGATGATATAAATCCTGCATTACCCATAATAAGGAATATACCATAGTTCCCATAGTTTTGGGTCCTTAAGGTAATTCAGGATTTTTTACCATCAACAGTACCAGTACTATAAGCCCAATGAACCTGAAACCTCTCAACCCCTGAC